GCAGCAAGCCTGTAAGGTGCTGGGCACCCTGCAGGCCTCAGCACAGCTCTGGGTGCTGCAGGGGAGGTTCCCACGCTCCTGTGGCACTATAGCACATGGGGGAAGAGTAGGGCTCAGCTGCCTCCCAAGGAGTCGGGCTCCTAGAGAGTGGTCCTCACCAGTGGTCCTGCACACTGACACTGCTGACCGCTACAGCAAAGCTGAGAGCCTGGCCAGAACTCGGATCAAACCTGTTACACTGAATATGTTAAATGAGTCCTTTTATCCAGCTGCAAGACTGTGTCCCCGAGACATTCGGGACAGCAATTGCAGTTTCAACAGGTGACGTTCACACCAGAATAAAGACCAAGTTGGGTGATCAGTTAGAGAAAACATTAGCCAAAATAACACATTGTCCCTAAATCACCTTTAATGCTTCTGTCCTTTTGCGTGCAGGTGTTAAGCAGACTTCAGAGGCAAATCTCTACTTCTGTAATATACAAGTGTGGCCCAATGCCAAGCAGAGTCTAGGCATCCATTAACACAGCTGGCAATAAGCAATGTTGCACCAGGCTTTTTGTGGGAAGGAGTGTTTTCACAGTTGGATGCCAAGTTTTACCCTCATCTTCCTCCTAGGAAATTTCACATAGAAAAATTCTTGACTATTCATCCCTCCCATCTCTCAGGGGATCCAGAACTGAAGAGAATGAGCCACAAACCATCTGACTTCTCTAAATAATATGACTAAAATCTTAAGAAGTGTCTAGAAATAGACATTTATTCCATATGCAATCAAAAGCCACAAGTACTGAGTGATTTATATTCCATCAGACCATCTCCTATTTTCAAAGGACGTGCTCCAAGGTGCTGACAACTAACTCCTTATCTGCCGGGAAAAAGTAGTTAAAAGCAAGCAGTTACTCTGTTCAGGAAATATAACCCCAAGGTCTAGGCTTGCTCCATGCAGATCTTTATACAATAGTCATGGTGTTCTCCAGCAGGAAAGCATATACTGTGCTACAGATCTGCCCATGACATGTTCAGGAGAATTAACATGTCATTTTCTATCACAAAACCATTGTATTGGTTAGAAAAGAGCAGCAGCTTGATTTTCCACCGGCAGGAAAAAAAAAAGTCAGGACTGCTGTTTAGAAAACAAAGTTATATTCAATTCCACACATTTATTTCTGCTGATATTGAGCAAGAACATGCTCGGAGCACAACAGCATTATTTTTTTACCTCCCCACATATCACTTCAATAATGTATTCAAAACTATTGGCATCTGTTAGTCCCAGACGCTCTCATTGAGCCGGAACAATCAATAGATGCAAACAAAGCAGGTAAAGAGGTGATCGGGGTTCTAGAAAGCTGAAATACTTTCTATTAGGACACCATAATAACTTCCACTGGATAAACATTTCAACATATGGTGCTATGAGCAAGGGAGGAGTCCGGGTAGATCAACCATGGCAGGCCATGTGAAGAACAAAATGCATCTTCCTTTCAGTGCAGAGCCAAGTTTGCTCAGGACGGCAGGACACGTTCCAAACAGATTGGGCTACCCCACCTAGGAGGGGGTATTGCACAGGAAACACTGTGTACGAGAGATAATTGGAGAAAGCGGTCCCAGTGTTTTGGGTTCAGATCTCCTCGCAGTAATGAGCACACAAGCAGATGATGCATATGCATGAGAACATAATTAAGAGTGGTAAAACCTGGAAGATTTTCAAACTCCATGGCAATTACCAACTTAAACACACAAAAAATTAGGGTAGCCTTACACCCAAAGGAAAGTTATTATTCCGAGTGTCTTCCCTCATTACAGTTAGCTCAGGCTCAAACAGCAGTCTGATAGTGGGGGGAGAGCTGCCTTCCATTAGCAGCAGGTGCTCTCCCCGGGACCAAGACAGGATGCTGACATCCTTCTGCTCTCACCAAGGCATCTCAAATGGTCCCGAAAACACTTTATCAGAACAAAAATAGAAAGTAGAAAGTGCACATGAGTGACAGCTTGGGCTCCCCTGTTGCTCTTTGGGCCTCTCTGGTGAGGAGCATTCACAGACAGAGAGCTACCCTGTGTAAATATATTCACTAAATAAATGTGGTAATTATACTGAATATTATTCTCAGTAGAAACAGCAGTAGGGAAATGATTTGCATAAGAAGTGTGGATTATTCATGTAAATGAATGTGTATTTGTTTATAAAAAAAGATTAAGTCTTGTCTAAAGACCTAGAACTAAGCTATATGTAGAAGTAAACACTTAGTCAGGGTCTTACACATTGAGTATGCTCAGCCCACCTTTATCAAATTATCTTCATTGGCACACGTGGCTATGTGTTTTGCACCAGCCTGTTTTGCTGGAGCTCACAGACTCCCCCCAGGCCAGGGAACAGTGAAGTTTCCCTTGGATGCCTGGCTTTGGCTGCCACTAAAACACCTCTAGAGAGAGAGTAGCATTTAATCTTTCCAGTTCAGCAAACCCAGGAGAAACAGAGGAACTGTTTCTGGCTTTAGAGGGATACATGTAAAGCCTAGCTCAGGAGGAGGGATCCCTTTCCTTCTTTTCCCCCTGGGCACAAGGACAGGGTCAGGTCCCTGCATGTCTCTGCACTGCCCCCACACAGCCTGGCACCACCCAGTCTCAGCCCAGCAGTAGCAACAACCCCCAGCCTGGAGTTATCAGGTCAGGGAGAAACAGGGACAGACACAGGGGACAAAGCTCACCCTGTGCAACCTCACCTCCTGCAGAGGAACCATCTCAGCTCCTGCAAAGGGAAGCACACACTCAGCATAGCCACCAAGAAAGCAGCCCTGCTGGAAGAAGAAAACTTTCATCTCTCACAGGGTTTAGAGAGGGAACTCTTCTTATGGGCCAAGTCATCAAGGGCAACATCCTCAGCTGATTCTCACTTTCATAAGCAATGATATGGTCCAGCTGAGGAGCTGTTGCTTCTAGCCGCTTTAAAGAGCAGCAAATAATTTGAGAAAGGATATATATCTGCTTTACAGTGTAACAGGCTTGATTTATTGCTGCAGTAGTACCTCCAGAGACAAGTTTGCAGTGCAAATTTTTGCTTTATTCAACAAGGCAACATGGGAGCTGTGGAGTCCTTCAGCTCACTTCAGCTGCTGCAGGTGGTTGGAGCGAATAGAAATTCTTTGATACTCTTCAAATGCTTTGCCACCTTTTTACATAATGTAAAAGGTAGTGTTGAGGAATGGCACCCCCACATGGCCTTTCCACTGAATTTCTCCTGTGATTTTATATTCCCAAATAACTGGTGCACCACTAAAAATCAAAGGATGGAGAAGAAATAGGGGTCCCTTCTGCTCCTCTCAGCAATTTATTCTTGCAGCATATGAATTACTTTCTTTGTTAATTCAGTCCCCAAATTCTTTACGTGCCTTAGTTTGATATAGCATCCTTTTTCTTTTTGTATTTGATATAATTAAAGCCCTGCAAAACTCAGCAATTAAATTCGTTGGAAACCTCTGCAAACTGGAAAACACTGATCCAGGTGATGGAGACTGTGAAGTGCCCAAGCCTTGCATTCACATCCAGCCCTGCACAGGGAGCAGAAGAGCAATCTGTAGAGGACATATTAATTTTTCAGGAATGACAGCCTAAGTTCAAACCAAGCTAATTTTAAGATGCTCAGGGATATTTCTACTGCCTGAATTTTCCTCCTGACCTTTGGGAGGTTGGGCTCACAGTTTCCTGCAATCCTGGAGGATGAGCTGGGGCTCTACGAAAAGGCAATTATCATAATGCTGGTAGAAGTTAGCCAGAGCAGACATGCTCCACACGGGCATCATGTCGTCTTCAAAAGAAGGACTCTGACAGGCATGGTTGCAGGTTAAAATGAAACCCCCCAAACTTCTGCCCCACTGCTCTCATGGATGTGGTCAGACCCTGCTGCTGTGGTCAGACGCATGGTCCGACGTGAATCAGTTCCTACGTGACTTCAGGTGTCAGCCTGGAAAGCTGGAGTTAGTAAACCCTTTTGGACTGACAGGGGGTGGTAACAGCCCAGCCCTACAACTTTAATCTGTTGACACTGTGCATCAGTGTCCTAAGAGTAGGTGTTTTTAAAAATAGAGTTATGGCTCCTCTGAGATGTGTGCAAGATTAAGGAGCAGGTAGGAAGACTGTGTGATGTCAAGTTTGTTTTATTTTTCCTTCTAAAAGAAAGCACAATACGGCTACATTGCTCTGGATGCGAGATTTCGTGTTGCCTCTTCTCTGTAACTTGAGCAACTTAATCGTTGTCATATATTGTGTTTTCATATACGTGTCCAGAATGGTCCGGAGGGCCTGAATAAAAGATCTGGCCCTAACTCAGGCGTGGCCAGTGTTGCCATTCAGGTTTCCATGGCCCACGCCGCAAACCCCTTTGCTGGCTCTGGCTGTGGTCTGCTCACTGCGTGCTCAAAAGCGCTGCGGCCAGCAGGGCCTGAATTGCTAGCGCGGTATTCCTAACTAATGCTTTGGTTTTGAATGGTCAGAGGGAAGGAAGAGACTATCCCAGGCATAACTCCAGCTTTCCCCTCGAAAGCCAGCCTTTAGTATCCGCAGCAGAGGGTCCTGCTGCTGCCACCCAGAGAAAACGCAGGATCAGAGCTGCCACCAAAAAAGGACACAAGTCGGGATTGCTTAAGACCCAATTTCTCATGCCTGGGTTTCAACTCTTCAACAACGCAGAGCTTCTTTCAAGCAATAAGTGGTTTATGTCTAGCTGCAGCAAATTTATAAGAAAGAAAGAAATCCTGCTTTTAGCTGAGGAAAAAAAAAAAAACTACTTTAGAGCAACTACTCCTTTCATTTCGTCTCATTTAATGAGCATGAGCTATAGATATTGTTCTCTTAGTCATATTCGTAGGAAACTGAGGATCTCCACACCTGTTTCTGCAGAGTGCTCACCTCTTAACAAGAGCTGCATACCTGGCTTGTTAGAAAAAGATAGGATCCTTTTAAAATATGACTCTTCATATCAATCTACATTCTGGGCCCTTTGAATATGAGAATGTAAATCCCATATTCATATATGGTTAGCTGTACATTTTCCATTACAATGAGTTTCACTAAAAAAAAATCAATTTTTAACTGCATGCTTTCTTAATGCAGAGTCCTTGTGTTTGATGACAGCTGCACAATTTCCTAGAAAAAACTTCTTCCCCTCAACAGCAGCAACAAAGTCAGAGACAGTTCAACTGTCTCACAGATCAGTTGAAAATGTGTACAAAAAACTTTATTTTCAACCTGACTCTTACTATGAATTTGGGCTCCAAGGACCCAGCTGACTGTCCAGCTGTAATGTTGTTAATGATAAAGAGGAACTGTAATTCACCCAACAGTCTTTTTTTTAATGACACTTTTCACTACTTATTCAACGAAAAAGTAGGACAGAAACCCAACAAAGGAACATTGTTTCTCCCTGGTATCTGCAGTCACCGTAATGCCAAGTGGGTGCTTTGCAAGTGGCATCAATCTCTGGCACTGCCAGACTGGATTTTAGTCAGGATTTTGTAGGGTTTTGTCCTTTACCTGTGGAACGCCTGCTTCTGACACTGCATAGATGATCTGAGCAAAACAAAGATCTGCTTGGATTGGAGGGGAGAGCAATGGAGACATTCATTTCCCCAGAACAGGTAGTGTAACAAATCAGTCCTGACCGCACTGATAAATTGAACTTCAAGCTTGGTGATACTGCTTTTCAGGTCTAATCCAGTGTAAGAAACAGCAGGAAGGAAAGGCGAAGGCAATTGTTAACATTTAATTTTGTGAGGAGCTGCTCACGGAGCAGGGAGAGGAGAAAAGTCTTCTTTTTCCCCTCCTTTTGTAGCGCAATATTTCAACAGTTTCTGAAGAAGGAGGCATGGGGTGCGTGTGTTAGGTGGGGTGCGTACACACACACACACACAATGAGGTACAGGAAAACTCCCCAGTGGTCACTGCTCCTTGCCAACCCACATGCCTTAGGATAGGACCATAACTTGTGTTACTGTATGCCAGTGTGAAAGAAGCACTGCTTATGGGCTGGGCTTTAGGAGACTGAGGTTCAAACCAGGCCTTGACTGCAGAATCCCAGGCGAATCGCAGAGACAAATCATGCTCTTTGAACAGTGCAAAAGTACTTCTTCCTGCTTTTCTAAGTAGATGGCTCTCCAGGTCGCACAGCAGCCAGCACTGTGGGGATGTGGTCTCCATCCCCTCAGCGCTGTGGCAAAGTACAGAATAACAGAGGGGATTTTTTTCCTTAACTCTTCTGAGTCTGGATGTGAATGTCACACCTGTGGGAAATTCCTGCCTGTCACCTCTCTTCCACAAAGGAGCGTGGGATTGCACTCAGGGAGAGTTCACAGGAACCAATGCCTGGAGAAGAGTCTCCTAGCCCCTCCTTCTTTGGGCTGAAAAGCCCACAGCCTATGGAGGAAATAAAAAGGATCCAACACTTACAATTTTTGAAATACCATCATTTGAATCCTGTCGTATGACAGAGAAGCAGGAGAGCAGAGGGTGGTGAGCGGGAACTGGTGAACACTTGGATTTGGAAGTGGGTTTGAGTCCGTGTTCCCACTTTACCTCTTCATTCACCTCAGTGGCCTTTACAAAGCAGCGTGCTGCTGAAAGACCTTGCACCTGCTCTGCTCAGGGGCCAAGAGCTGCCTCCCCCTAGGAAACAGGTTTTTCCTCCAAAGAGCCTCAAACTCCTCACTCACGTGGCTTGACTGCAATAGCAGCTTGCTATTTAGTGATTCCTTTTGTGGGTTAGGATTAAAACTACTGCTCAGTAATCAAAGCCAGAAAAAAAGTTATTTGTTCTACCCAGAGCATCTCATGATATAGTCAGGCTGTTGGCACAGCTTGGCCAGCTATGATGGTCGCTTGTGTGGTAGTTACTTGGATGAATACCATACCTCCCAGTAAAGGATCTTAACATGCATCTAAACGCTTCACCTAAGTAAAGCGGAAGCATTATTAGCCCCACTGTAAAAATGGTGAAAATGAGAGATGAGACCTCAGATGGAAAGCCACAGTGCAGCGTGTGAATGCTGCTTAGAGCTTCAAATCGTAGCTGATTGCCCAGAGACAGAAATAGAGGGACGTCAAACCTGAACCGGTCTCTCTTCAAGGGTCGTTGATGCTAGCTGTCCTAGGGTAGGAACCCAGTCATCTTGCTGTAACTTGCCATGGGGTAATTTGTCCCCAGAGGACAACTCTTCCCCTTTTGCCTGAAGCCAGCTGTCTAGGTATCAGTGAAGAGCTGTGGGAGAAACATGTTTCATGTGACAGCCCCAGACACGAGTCATTCATCTAAGTGTTAGCCCCTTTTTGAATACGGTTAGGCTTGAGAGTAGAGCCTAGCCTGTTCCAGTCCGGACAGAAGTACTGCACCAGGCAAAATATCTGTGGTGAGGCTGACGGGCTACTCTACCCTGTATGCGTGCACCAGGCACCTCCAAGGGACCTCAAATTCACACAGGATATGTAGCTAGAGCTCGCTACCACAAGATGCACATTATGTTTGCAAAGGGTCAATTAGTCCCTTTCAATTTCAGCTCAGTCTTACTCTTCGAGAATATCCGATCATCCAGCCGGTCTTATGCATTCCAGCCATTATTTGCTATTCATGTTATTCGCACCAGTCTTTTCCTGAAAGGGCCTTTATTAGCAGTTCTAAGCCTAAGCCATAGCCTCGCTTCTCTTTGATTTCTGCTAGAGCAATAGCACCCGCTGCAAAGCTCAGCATCTCTATAACTGCTGTGGTTACATATGAATGCATCTTTTGGCAGTCTTTTAGATCATTTTTCTACAATGCATATTGTAAATGAGGCGTAATATATCTTTAGAATTGCCCAGAAAATGTTACTCTGTTAGCAATATAAAAGCATTACAGTGTCCGAGTAGGGGCCCTTGCCAAAACATTTTATTGTGAACCAGCTAATTCAGCTTGAATTGTACATGGGTTGGTATAATCATTCCAGTAAAGCATTCTTTACAATTCTGTAACAGCAAGTCACATGGCTCAATAAAGTTTACTGCTACACATGTTTAGTGATTCATGACATAGATGAATTCTGTTCCTTTCCTGAATCGAATAATCAATAGCAAAATAATCTCCTCGCAATTACATTACTCTGCATTAAATAGGTATGAAGTAAATAAGTACAAAATCTGATATAAAAAAATATGTACAACATTAAAATGAACTGCCATTTGAAAATGGGTGTCCTGCACCATGATTTCCCATACAGCCTATGGCAGAGGCTATTTAAATTATGACCAGCATCCAGCAGTCCAGCATACTGTCAGCCTTCAATAATTCTTGCTCACCTGATGACACAAACTGTGTAACCAACCCTGGTGGGAATGACAGTTTGTCCATCCCATCATGCCCAGCCCAGCTGGGAACTCTCTACAACTACACAGACACCTCAGCCACCCAGGGCAATACATGTAGATGCCAGGGACCATCTGCTCAGAGTGCACTGAAAGAGCAAGACCTGTGCTCCCCTTTAACAGCCCTTTCAGTTCTTCCAGTGTGGTTCTTGCACACAGTAAACCAAGGTTTGTAACATCCCCCGCTGAACTGAGTGCAAATTAAATCAGGCTAATTTAGTTTGCACCATCACGTTCAGCTGCAAGTCACAAACGGAAGCGGAGGCATGACAGTTGGGAGAGGGCACGTGCTTTATGACAGGAATTGCTAACAGAGCCTCCTTAGGAGCTTTGCAAGACAGCCGTGCTGCAGTATCTGTACTCAAGGCCCCTGGCAGTCCCTGCTGCCCCTAACCTGCCCTGCCTCACAGACCTGAGCCCTGTGGCCCCAGTGACACCGCAGCAGGCCACTCATGATAGACATATCATCTGCTATAATCAGAACAAGTACAAACATATCTATCTGGTTCTAACAAAAGCACTTCTCATAAAACCAGTATGAACATAATGCTGTTTAGAAACAGACTGTGCTAGGGAATAAAGAGCAGACTGTCATTTTAATTGTTTAAATGACTGGGAATGATTATACGAGGATGGGCTCTCTCTCCAAATATGCTCCTATTGTTGTACAAACTTCAATGCAGTGGAGAGCCCATATCTGAACTCAGGCTTTTACTGGTGTTTACCTATAATCCACACTCTTCCTCCTCAGTCCTCACACACACCCCAAAAGGACATTTATGAGACTAAACACTAAAATTTTTTTTAAAAAGCCACAGGGAAGGCTGCCTATGCAAACTTAATATTAATTCCTTCCTACAGAAGTGTTAGGGTATGGTCCTTTGTTACATGATTGGTCTCACAGGAGCCCTGTTTCATTCAGTGTCGACTAGACCATGCACTGGATAAGAGACAAGCGTCCTGCTCACAGGAACCCGGAAAAGTCAAAATCGCAATCTGCAGCAGGCATTTAGCGTGGAAATTTCCAGCCCAAATAGCTAAATGGTAAGAAAGTGAAAAAAGGTCCTACAGGTAGATATACCAAGCAACTCTCTAACAAGGTGTTTCATGCAAGTAGTCCCACTTCTAACGTTCTTTAACACTGTCCATAATTACGCACCCAGTTTCCACTATTTATTCAGATAGTCTCTACCCTTTCTTCCCCACAAGGGCACAGACCCTTGGCCAATATCATGGGCCTAGCAGCTGCAGAACTGGGATTTGCTCCTTTAGATAAGCCACTTAGGGCAGGGACTGTTTCTCTCCCCAAGCTCAAGAGATGTTTAACACAGTAAGGCGCCATCATCAAGTACAGCCTCTGGACGCTACCACAACGTACACCATACTATGAGAATAATGATGTAGTATGAGCATTAAGTGGTGATCCTAATGACTCAGCTGCCACACTCCATGGTGTGCTACTGTGCACCCATAGTAGTAGGCAGCCAGCAGTCTGTTCTCAGAAGGGATGTCTAACATGAAATAACACTTAAAAAAAATAAATACACGATTAACAAAACTTCATTTCACCGAGTCCATGGTCATTAGGTCAACTCTGCTTCAGGTACGACTTTCATATGAGGAAGGATTGCAGGGCTGAGCCCAGGAAGTCCGATACACATAAAAAGTTGATGTGACACAGCCTTCCTTATTCTGGTGCAGGTCTGATCGTCCTCTCCTCTACAGCATTGCTTCAGGAGTACAGGGTCATCATCATCCACTGCAAAACAACAGGGAAAGGGGGGTTGAACTCATCCACTGCTATGAGAGCTCTGAGATATTCACTGCTGAATTGGAATGTGGGCATTGGAGATTTCCTTTTTCCAGCCAGAGCAGAAGCCATAGCAAGGCAAAGCTCCTCGCTGTTTCAAACCTACTCTTTAAGCGATCAGGTAAAGATGCCAAAAAAATAGAAAAAGCCCCCCCCCCCCCCCCCCCCCAAGGCTACAGAACAAAGCACATGGTGCCACTTGTAATGGAAGGAACTTGCATTTGTTACTCAGAGAATGGGCTTTACCTCAGATTCCCGGAGGTATATCCCTTTGCCATCTTGCGTTAAATTGCGAAAGGCCTCTGTGTAAGAAATAAATAAGAAACATTAACTTGATAGCTAAGAGATAACACCAACTGAGATCCACTTTCCAAGGAAAAACCTCAAAGGCAGAGTTTCAGTCTATTCACAGGTGTGGGGGTGTACACACTTGTCTTTTCTGACACTGGAAGATCCCTGAGGTTGGGAAAAAGATATGACTGAATGAACTCAGGCACGTTACTCTGGCCATCCAGCAGCCTCTTCAGATAGAGCTGTCAAATCTTCAAATGCAGGAGGCCTCAGCCTCACCCACTACAGTCTGAGACACTTAGGTGGTGTCTACAGTATGTGTGCTCACAGATTGGAGCATAAACTCTCTCATCCTCATGCCTGCAGTCCCCACCAAAGGTATATTTCAATACCCTCTGCTTCCTGGAAGACAAGCAGCCTCCATCTGTAATTTGCTCACCAATTCTACAGGGGCCAGTGCAGATCTACTCCCTGCAGGGAGCAAAGTCATTCCAATTTGCAGAAAGTGACTGGCAGAAAGTTAAAGAGCGAGAGCTTGATTTCCTCTGTATGTGTCCCTTGCTTTGAATTGATTACTCCTGATTTATTCTTGTCCACCTGAGAAGAAACCCAGACTTTCTATTTTGACCTTGGCACTGCCAGCTGGAATAGCTCTGGAAGGGCTAGGGATTTGTTGGACAGGCCAGAGGTGTAGCACCAGCCTCACCTCCCATGATCTCCACTCGAAGCATGAAACAGACAAAGCTTTCAAAGCTGATCTGCAAGTCAGGGTTGCCGTATCTGATTGCCATCAGGTTACAGACTTCATTGCTGAGTGAGATGCCTTCAGGAAAAAAAAAAAAAAAAAAAGGCAGAATGAGAGGGTAACTCCCAGCTGGCATAAGATCTCTGTGCAGCTGCCTGGTCTTCGCCCTTTCTCCAAAGCCTCTTTCTCTGACTTCCCCTACAATTAGCTAATAGGGACCAGCGCAAACCAGACCACCCAGTGGAGATAGATCTGGAAGAGAGGATTTCTTCTATTCACTGCCCCCGCCCCAGGACATGGAATAAAACATATATAGGCATCCTTTGCTTATGCATGAATGAGGGTAGTGACAGCAGCTGTATTTAACAGCAACACTGGCCAAGAGTGCAGGAGAGGAAATGAAAAGGAAAATCCATAGGAAGGTGATAGACCAAGCATCAGTCCCAGTGTCAAGCAGCACTGGCAAGGCATGGAAGTACTTCGTACTCGTGGCCTGGGGTTTTAGTTTGTTTTAGCAGAGGTCCCCTGGCTTTCACTGTGCTTTCACTAACTCAGATGAACTGGGTGAACCAATCACCAAGAAAACGAGTGATAATTTAAGCTCAAAGCTTGCAAAAGGAGCTAGATGACTGAGCATCAACTCCCATTCAAAGCCCAGTGGCAGCACTAGAGCATGACCCAGGTATTTGGTCCATGTGTACAGTCTTAGTTTCTAGACCAGCTTGTATTAGTCATGTCTGGTACTGGTATTGCTTCTGTAGAAGTCCCAGACTTCCAGGTTCAGTGCCTGAGCTGGTATCTTTGGCAGAGCTAGCCATTCATACAAACCGGAACTGACCTCCCACATGCATCCACGCAACCCTACGCAGCCTTTTAAAGTGAAATTAGTAACAAACAGGAAGGAATTTAAAAACTGGGCCTAAAACAAACAGATGCTTTTGTCACTGATTACTATCGGTATGAGGCCACAATGGGACAAAGATAATGTAGCATATCACACAGCAAAATAATTTTCAGAATTTTTTTTACCCTGCTAAGAGAGAACCAAAGATAGCTAAGACCATGCAGTCTGTGATGTTTTCCACTCTTTCTGGCCTCTGCTACAATCCTCAGGATGTTTCCCAGCTCTGGGCTTTTCTGCAAATGAGAGTCCTAAGTTTAGACGTGCTGTGGGCTCACCTGTCTCCTGTACAGCTGCACGCAGTTCCACCAAGTCAAGCCTTCCAGATCTGTTAGCGTCTCTTTTCTGGAAGACTTCCTGGTGGAAGAAAAAGGAACTTTTAAAAAAAAAAAAAAAACGGAAAACAAAACCCCAAAACAAACCAAAAAACAGAATATGCTGATGAGAAACATTGTAAGGGGAAACAAATGATTCCTGTACCAAGTAGAAAAGTAGCCTCTTCCACAGGACTCTGAACTCCTGAATACTCAGCGTGCCAGAGGCATTCAGCTTCATGGGAGAATTAAGGTCGGAACATCTCAATTAAAGGTCAGAGAGAGCCCATTATATAAAACACATACAAACATAAAACTCATAGCCAGTCTAACATTCACACAATGATAACATGAGGATAGTGATTTCTTAGCCCACAGGCCCATCCAAATGCTTGATCCTGCTCCCACTAAAATCAGTGGGAGCCTGCTGCTGACATCAAAAGCAGCAGGA